CGGTTTCTTCTAGGTCACTTCCACCGGCTGACTGCCACAGATTCATGTAGTCCTGTTTGACATCCCTTGATCTATTCGTTCCACTATCACCGCGCTGCACGCCTGATTACTCGCGGTCCTTACGATATAGTTGACTCACTGACTTCACCGATCCCCGGGGTGTCTACTAAACCGGAGTGTGCCACAGTTTACATATTTTGCATTATTGTCATCTGTGTTTCGGTACCGTTTTATAGAAGAAAGATATCGTCTTCTTACGTGTCATCAACACTACGCCGTTTCAAATTGTAAAATAGTCCCATAGACAATGTAGAAAACGGTATTTGCGAAGAAATTTCTTTTCGATATATCGCATCAGGCGTTTACATATATAAGGTTACTAATTGAGCTCTAATCGGCCAATCAGACATCTGTATTGTGATTCACCGCACATATCGACTTGCCAAACAGTAGCTGACCGGGGAACACGCGAATCATCCTAGTGACCGCGGATTGGTGCGCTTCTCATTCGAGTGCTGTCCATATATGGGTAGCGCTCTACGGTTGACAAAAGTGCATGCACTGTCCAACAAGACCGTCGAAACTGTTCATATATGAAGTATTCAGTTCAATTATCGCATCACTGTTACAACATCATTTCCTACTCAGTCCCGGAAGGATAGGTTTTTGTGTCGGTGTACTCATGTAAAATATACTTCCGAGTACATAAACGGATAACAAACCAACTGGATTTAGTCAAATGTTTGCTTGGCCTGTGTTGCACACACTGGTACCAATCAGAATCAGGCCGACTGATTAGTCTGCTCCCGCCAACTCCACACCCGACACCGAGTGCGTGTTAGAATGAACAACTGACCACCTACCACCTTTTTCCGTCAAAAGTCCAATCGATAGTTTTTGACCAATTTGTCATTCCGATTCCACATATATGCGTAAATGGCTTTCTCGGTTTGAGCACTCTTAAATAAAATATCAAACTGTCATCGGATACCTAGAAAATTGAGAAAAATCTTCAGTGATTTTAGTCCCGTTTAACTGTCCAAACTTGTTCGCTTCCGGGTGACCTCCTGCTTATTCTGAACCGCAAAACTGGGCGGGAAGCAACTTCAACAGACCGAATAAGATTTACGGACGAATCACCATAATCATGGAATCAAATCGACGTAACGAAGACTACCATCAACTGCCCCGTTATCTATCCTGTCCAGAGTCCTCAACTGTTGTACTTCCCAATGTTCAATACCGGATTGCTGGAGAACAGCCAGTATTATACCGATTCTGAAGAAAGGCTCTACGAAATCGCATCCCATAGCTTACACTTCGAATAAATAATTTCATGCAAATTGCTACCATAGTTGAATGTAGCTAACTGCAGACAACGTGCCCATTGTCGTATAAGGGCATACCCTTGATGTTCCCCTAGCGTATTTTATTCTGAAATCGCTGGATAGTGACACTGTAACACTGTAATAATGTGTGTACTTTCCAGACTACAGTGATTCATTTAGAAGTGTTAATGGAGTTCAGCTTCTGTGCAATCTTGCCTACTGTTGCCCTCCAAAATGACCATTTTTTTCTCAAAACCAGTTTTGCATTCTTAGGGGTTCTTCTTCGAGGAGGTATTTTGTTTCCTTTCCTCTTTTCCACTTACTTAGTTTCCATGCCTTCCGCAATGATTCCATGCTAATAAAATACGCTAATGATGTCATCTTTGGTTTACCCAATTTCAACAACTCAAATCACTATCCAGTTTGGTATCTCACAACTTGACGAGTGGTCTTCTGCCCGCAAATTTCCATGAAACTATCCCAAAAATGTGTTGATGTTCCATTTTCACTTCGTAT